ACAGATACAAAAACAGAGTCACAAATGGAAAGATAATCCTATGAAGATGAATCAACAAGCCAAAGAATGCCAGGAGATGCCTGGGACTATGCTGGAGTTGGGAAAGACAGGGAAGATCTGAGAGATCATGGCCCAGCATCCCAACCTCTAGCTGCCAGAACTGTGACACAATGACTTGTTCTTCTTAGAAGCCACCCATTTTGTGGTATTTTGCTATAGAAGCCCTAGGGATCTAAGACGGAGGGCTTAGCTACTAGAGACAAAGGAAAGTATCCTCTCCATCTGTAATTGTTTGCAAGAGCAGTGGTGACAAAGTACCACACACAGGGCAAACAGAAGTTTACCATCCCATTGTTCTCGACAATACGAGTCCACATAGTTGGGATTGTGCTCTGTGTTGATTCTTTCTGGATGCTTTGAGGGAAAATATGTTCCATGCCTCTTCTTACCTTCTGGTGATGGCTGCTGCTTCCCGATGTGCCATTCTCTGCCCTGCCCCACATAGCAGCCTTCCCTCTTATCTTCTCTCTTTTGTAAGGATGCCACTTTGATGGGATTAAGAGCCACCCTACTGCAGTGCAGCCTCATGCTCATATGACTGGTATCATCTTCATAGACCCTATTTCCTAACCAAGTCCCACTGACGGTCAGGGAGTTAGGACACAACTCAGTGCATACCACCACTGCAGATGCACCCGATCCGCTTAGGTCAAGATAAGGAAGCTTTCAGGCTTTCTGCTTTTCATTGGGGAAGGGGGGGTGGATCTGCATGCTCCGAGGGGAGAAGATGTGAAGCCAGCACAGCTGAGGACGGGGTACAGTGTTGGTGTATTATTAGATCCTCCTAACATTGCCAGCTCTAAATGCAGACTTTGCTAATTCCACTGTGGAGTTGAGTTGTGAGGAAGGAGCTGATTGGGGACTTCATTGTTCCCTCTGATTTTGACCTCAATTGAGGTTTGCTTTGGGGTGCACAAACCTAATTTTTTTTCTTTTTGGCAGTTTAGCATTACAGAAAAATGATACAAAAACTAGAGAACGTTTGCACATATCCTTTCCCCACAGCTCATGGTGTTCTTTCTTTGCATTCCTGTGGCCCATTTGTTGTAATTGATGAACTGATACTGATACATTGTTCTTAGCCCACTTTCATAGCAAGCTTTTGCTTTTTATCGATGTGAATATTAAAGTGGAAGAGGTATCAAATGAGGAGGCAGAAGACCCCAAGCCGAGGCAGGTAGTGCTCCGGGACAGGGCCTGGGGCTCTGTTGCATTGGAGCGTCATCAGGTGGGACATGGGCTGCCTGGAGGTCTGGTCTGGCCTCACAGAGCCCCAGAGGTTTAGTAGCATGAGGAGTTATATAAGGGACTTCTTAGGTACACAATCAAACAGGCACCGTTTACGCATGTTTGTATGTTTGCTATGAGCCAAACACCTCTTGATAAGTGAGATAATCCTGCTTGTAATAGCAGAGGTATATTTTATTGTAGGAGAAGGCAACTCAGATTTTTTGGGGTGCCATGTGAGATGTTGCAGTGACTTCCACAGTAAAAATATGGGCTTCTGTTTATGGTCCATTGGTTCCTGGATTGTCACAGAAAAGGTGTTTGGGCAAGACTAGTGTAGGAGAAGTGATCCATGTTTTACTTTTGCAAACATTAGATGTGTTCAGGGAAATCACATAATACATATGGAACCTGAATGCTTGCTTTTGGATCTCCTTTCTTTTCCTTAACTCTCCAGGACCCTCTAGTTGCAAGCTTTGACGGGCCTTTGTGACATTTTATTTGGAGGACATAAAATGTATTCTCTTTCACATGGAGAGGGAGCGCTGGTGGTGTAGTTGTGCTGCTACCTGACCCAAAGGCCTTGAGTCTCTGGCAATGTCAGTGCTGCAGTGACAGCTCAGGAGAAGGATGGGCAACTTTCTCTCTCTCTTTTTACATTTTTTTAAGGGCCCTTCAATTTTCAACGTTCCCTTTCCCCCACCCCATGCATGTACCTTGTGTTTTACACAGTCTTTACATTTTGTTAATTTATATTGTGAGGGTTTTTTTGGGGGGCAGCTTCCTCTTGTCATGATTTACAGCCTTGAAAACCCAGTGGAAGGGTCGCTGTGAGTAAGAACTAATCAGACGGCAATGAGGGAGTGAGCGAGACCAAATAGAAGCATTAATAAAGGATCTAGTTGCCTCGTGGAGAAGAGGAAACTCGCCTATTTTAAACTGGTTTCTATTTGCTTTTAAAATGAGCTTGGAAATTTTTTGGGTTTTTTGGCAAACTTTAATCGTGACCTTGCTTAGCTTCCATGCATTTAATTTCACCGAAATGGAATTTCAAGGAAATATTTTTCTGGAAATGATTTTTTCCTTTAATACCCAGAATGTGGAGGAGGGCTCTGGCAAACAGGAGATTCCATTGTGCAGATCAGCTGTTTGGCGTGTATGTTTCCAAAGGTACCTCGGAGCGGCGCTTCCCTGGTTAGCCATAGGTGGAAGCACTGGTTTAAGTAAACTAACACACGGTAGTTACTCTGTGGATCTTGCACATTTTTAGAACAACAGCAAGTTGATCCAGGATATGGTTCTATCAGCAAAGCTTTCTTATCTATCCAGTGGGGGTGGGGGGAGGTGAAGAGCACCCAATCCAGCTGCTAGCAAGTTAGCCCTGACTTCTGGCAACCAAACCGCATGTGTGTCCGAGTAGGGCTGTGCTCCATAGGGTTCCTGGTGCCTAATTTTTAAGATGCAGATCACCAGACCTTTCTTCCAGGGCACCTCTTGTGTGGACTTGCATCACCTTAGTTAGCAGCTGAGCTCATTAGTTCTTTGTGCCCCCCAGATCTTCCATTCCTATGGGAAATGCATGGTAAATTGGTGAAGGACTTGTTCTGTGGCTTCTAATACAGACAGACAGATAGATGCTTGTGTCTCTCTTGACTGGTCTGAGGACAGGCCCCAAATACCCACATGTGGAAGACCTTTGATCTACCTTCTGTGGGTAAGGATATGGGAAAGAAACAGTATTTTCCAATATATGCCAATATTCTTCTATAGCTTGAAAATGAGCACACAAACATTTGCATCATTATGTAATTTTATTACCACGAACTCCCACCCCTCTTCTTCAGCCCCACAATCCTTGCCTAGTGCCCCACACCACCAGAACAACTTTCCAGATGGGCTGCGTGAAGTCACTGTCATCCGAGTTTTGTTTTTGTTGGAGAGGCCGCCCCTCCCCATGTATTTGTCCCGCGAGCTGTGGAAAGTTACAGTCCACTGATGTACTGTTCTCTTTATGCCAGCGGTGAGGCAGGCCTTCTGAATTTGCCTGTCTCCTCTCCTTCCTTCTGGGATTCATTCCCCCAGCTCCTTCATTCATTCTGCTGATAGTGGATAGTGCTCGGGATTTTCCTGGAAAGGACTAAATTGCCTCCACTGGTTGCAACTGGAATCCTTGCTGAGTGGTAGCTAAGCTAGAGCTGGCAGACTCAAATGGACTCTTGATCTCAAGTCACTCTTCCTTGGTGTGCCATCAGTTTCAAAAGACCCCAGAAAATGCAAAAGAAGTGCTTTGTTACATGGGTCTGTTGGACTTTCCCTGTGAATCAGGTACATTGAAATGAAGAAAAGGAGGATGACAGTGGTCTTTCTCCTCAGTATCCAGGCCTCTCCTGGTCTATCATAGAAGGTTCTGGAAGTCTCATTCATACAGTGTCTGACTCAGTTATATATCACTGCCGGAAAATTGAATCCCAAAAGTGGACTCCCCGGCTCAGCTGGTCTGTGGCCCTGTCAAGCTAGTCCAGTCATTCGTTGGTTCAGTGAACCTTTTTGGCACTGTTTTCCAACATGTTTTCAGGGCATTAGTTGTACATTCAACAAGAATACATCTAATGTGGCCACTGTTGTGAGGCCACTTTCTTTGCCTTTATGAGGCACTGGACTTGAGTCAAATGTGTGCTTATTTCTCAGCTACGCCGTGTTTACCCTTTTCTTGTCATAGCTCTGGGGTTTCCTGGTTGCCTCAGTACCTTTACTGGCTCAGGCATCCAGCCAGGTTGGTGATTCCCCTGTACCCAGCCAGTGCAGGGACAGCCTCACTTGGCACCTAGGTGTGCCTGCTGCAGTGAGTTAGCAGTGCATGCCTATATGGAGCATACCAGTGAGGATTCAGAAGTCTGGACCCAGTGGGCAGATGGGCAGCCTAGTGATATGCCCTCTGAGCCTGCCCACCCTTTGTTTACCATTCCCCTGCGGTGGAGACTGTCACATCAGTGCCTAGTGAACAACTTCAGATGTCCCAGGCCCATGGGCATCTCCAGACCAGGTGAGGTGCTGTGGGGAGGTGGTGTCTTGCTACCTAGAGAAGCTGGTCTCAGACTTGAGCAGTTACCCGAGTTCCGGGCAAGGTACTTTGGATTTCCTTTGTGGTTAAGGTCAAGGTCTGTGGTACAAGAAGCAGCAACCAGAGCCAGCATGCATGCAGCCCCTGCCTTCCCCGTGCTTGCATTCAGAAGCCCAGGTGAGCAGTGTGCCTCTCTCCTACTGTTTTCTCAAGGTGGGTGTCACTTGTGAGGCATGGCAGCATAGACAGAAACCAGAGACCTCTCTCTTGGGTCCAGTGTGGTAGTTAGCTCCTGACGAGGGTGGGGTGGAGAGAGTAAATGCCTCCTCCAGCTTGGAGTCATATCATAGAGGAGGTCAATGATCTGAACCATCACACAGTATCTGTCCCCTAGCAACTGCCACTTTGTTTGCAAGTCTTTGCAACAAGTGGGTTGTGATGTTATTGTCACGTTGGCAGCTCATCCACTTGGGGAGACTATACTAAAAACTCACACCCCATTTTTATGACTGACTGTGTCTAAATCCTTTGTTTTTCTCATGTATCACTTCCTAAGGCAGTTATCAACATTTGTTTAACAGATGGGTCTATAGAGGCCATGTGGCTCCAGTGGTCTGTTGAGTTGACTGATGATCCCATCTCTATCTTGCAGAGTCTCCAGTATCCAGCAGCAGCTGGCCCAGCTTGACCATGAGCCCTGGCCAGGAATGGCTGAGGCTGACAGAGACCGGCTTCAGCTCCTCAAAGAGAAGGAAGCTTTGCTTCAGGAGCTGCAGCTCCTCCCTCAGCAGAGGAGGTCTGCGGAAGACGTGGCGAGGCTGGAGGAGGAGATCCAGCGAGCCCGTACCACATCTGCACAAGGCGCCACGGAAAGGTAGGTCCTCCACACAGCTTAGGACAGGCATGCGAGTCTGCGTCCCCATTGATTTATTCCATTCTGTTTCAGCTTATTATCAATTTGGTTTAGGTTTCAAATACCACAAACTTCAGTGAGAATGCCTTAAATGATAGTGTTCTGCATGCATTAACCAAATCTGACAAAAGAACAAGTATCCAGTTTAGTTGAATTATGACTGACCTTTTACATGAACAACCAATTAATGTATTTTAAATTATTACATGCAGGGAACAGTAAAGCGTCAGTAAATTAATCTGATGACATCCTACCACTGTACCCATGCTCATGTAATATTACTGAAATTTATTCTGAATAAACAAACCAACCCATTGCCAGTGAGTTGACTCTGACACGTAGCGTTCTTCTTTCTGAGGTTGTAAATATTTTTTTTGTTTTATTGATTTTCTTTCAATCACTCTTTATTTATAAGAGTTTTCAAATAAATTAGTTTTTTTATTCATTTGTTCATAGAGATTTTACCCCTTCCCTCCATCTGTCCCACCACAATCACTTCAAGCCATAATGCGTGTCCTGTTCCAGATTGCTAACTGCACTACACAGAATGTCTGATGGCCCATTCACTTCACATTGACCTTCCTTTCACATAGTCCGATGCAGCATTCATTACTTATCCATTCTTTGCCTGCTCTTCCCCTCTCCCCCATAATGCTCCTATTTTTATACAAGTGATCTTCTGTAGTATTTGTCTTTTTTAATTGAATTCTTTCACTCATTATAATGTTCTCTAGACTTATCCATGTATGTTTCATGAGTTCCTCATTGTTTTTCAATGCTTTGTAATACTCCATTGTGTGAATGTACCACAATTTCGCCATTCATGCATTTGTTGATAGGCACTTGGACTGCTTCCATCACTTTGCTATTTTGAATGATGCTACAATAAATATGTGTGCATTCATCTGTTTATGTCACAGCTCTGATTTCTACAGGATATATTCCCAGTAGTGGGCTAGGATCAACTATGGGTCTGATCCACTCGACAGCACAAAACAGTTATTAAAGAGGTTGTCATTTCCTCGCTTAATGAATTTTGTCACTTTGTCAAATATCACTTCAATTTCTAGGTTCTGTACCCTATTCCATTGATCTGTGTATCTGTCACAGTACCAATACCATGCTGTTTTGAATACTTCAGCTGTGTAGTAGGTTTAGAGATCAGGGAGTATGGTGCTTCTTACTTTGTTTTTCTTTGTTAGCAGAGCTTTGCTTATTCTAGGTCTCTTTCCTTCCCAAATAAAGTTTGAAATTGCTCTTTTTATCTCCTTGAAGAATATCTGTATTGCAATAGCATTGAACTTAGAGATTGCTTTTGATAGGATTATTGTTTTCATCATATTGAGTCTTCCTATCCATGATTATGATATATTTTTCCCAGTTATCTAGGTCTTTGTGTTTCTTGCAGTGTTCTGTAATTTTCTTTATATGGAACTTTTGTATCTCTAATTATGTTTATTCCTAATTATTTCATCTTGTGGTTGGCTGTTATAATTGGTATTAGTTTTTCTTTGTCCTTTTCTATGTTCTTTTTGCTACTGTATGACTCTTAAACATTTTGTTTCATAACATTAATTGCAATTGTACAATGCTGTTATTTTCAGTATCTTGTCAAACTGTCACCATCCCGTCCTTTTTCCTTCACTCTACCCATCTGTCTGCTATTTTCTGCTCCCACTTCCTTTCCCCCTCGTCCCTGCTGAGATTGTGAATCTTGATGGAAAGAGATGGCCCACGCTCCTCCAGAAGAGTGGCCGGTGGATTCAGACTGCTGACCATTAGTTGGCAGTGCAACATCTAACCAGTTATACCACCAGAGGTCCTAAGTAATAACCCTGAAGCAAAATCCATTGTAGACCAAGGTGTGGAGAACCCATTTTAAAGTGAATTTGCAGAACTTACATGTGGCTCTGGAACATTCTTTATTGTCATCAGAACAACTACTGCTTAGGGTGTTTATTTGCATAGTGGAGAGGAGGCAAAAAGGGGGTGAGAATGTGTGCATCTGAGCCTCTTGCTGAGAAGTAGAACATGATTGAGATGAGAAGAAGCGAAAAAGGCCAGAATGAACCACCACTTAACTCATACCTCTTCCTGGGATAGATCCTGATGTGTGCTTTTTGCCTGATTGTGGTACAGTGGCACCCTCTACAGGTTCAGTGTCATTTTTCTGTCTCTCAGATCACCAGTTGAGACAGCTGGTAGTCTAGCTCTAGAACTCAACAGCTCTGTTGATGATGGGAAGAGTCCCCTTCCTGACACTGCCTCATTGCCAAAATGTGCCCTGCAACTTTGAGCTCTGCCTTGTATTTCTGACCAGGGAAGTGTGTTCTTTATTTAGCAGTAGGCAGCCTACAGTCTATGTGAGGCCTAATTCCAAACCTTGGACTTGTTCAGCATGGGAAGCGTGGAGCTCTCTCAGTGTCTTTTGTATTTTTGACATTGAGTTTTTGGAGCTTTTTCATCTAGTACCATGGCACCTTACTCCCGTTTACAATTTGTGATTGTATACCAGCTGGACACAAGATCTGCTTTCCACATTAAAGCATTGTCAGAAGTTTTTCCATAGCCATCTGCAAGTTAATGTACTGGCTCCTTATCATGATCATAAGCTGTATCTCTAGGGGCAGTTGGTGAGAGTTCTGTGGTAGAAATCTCCATTCGGAAGACCTGAGTTCAATTCCTGGTCAATGCAGTTCGTTCACGACCATCACACAGCTTGTGGGTGGGGGTGTGCATGTTGCTGTAATACAGAAGAGTCTTCACCAGAGATTTGTGACTAAGACAGATTAGGAAGAAAAACTTGACAATCTACTTTAAAAAAACAAAATCCCCCTTATCACTAAAAACGCCAGATGTTAGGCCAGGAGCAATCACCTGGCTGAACCATAAATCATAATGGAATGTCCCTCCCTACCCTTGAAATGTCCCTCCCTACCCTTCCTGATCCCTGGAGGGCCTGCTATAAAAATCCTCCTGAATATGCCCTAATTGTGACTTGTCCCTCCCTACCCTTCCCACTCCCTGAAGGGCCTGCTGTAAAAACCCTCCTGAATATACCCTAATTGTGACTTCCTTGGCCTGTCCTTTAAAGACCAAGGAACCTCGCCAGGGATCTCCCTTAATAAAGCTGCTTTTAAGCTTTCTTTCTGTCTCTCTGGTCCTTTTCTTGAGTCCTTGGCCTTACATCTGATGCAAAGACCTAACAGCTCCCAGATTTGTTAAGGTTTGGAAACAGAAGTGGCATCTACTTCTTAAACCACAAACCCCGGGGAAACTCTATGAACTTGGAGAAACAGCGATAGTTATAGAAAGGCTTCAGGCCTTTTGTTCATAGGGTCACTAAGAGTCATGCTCACTTGATGGAAATAAACACAACATATAAATATTTTGCACCAGAGCACTGAGAAGCCAAAGTAAAAGGAAGAAATCAGGAAATTAAGGAGCTGAACAGAAGATTTCAAAGGGCAACTTTGGAGGTCAAAGCAAAATACTAAAATGAAATGTTGAAAGAGCTGGAGGTTTGGGTTTGTTTGGGTTTTTTTTTTTGGTTTGTTTTTTTGTTTGTTTGTTTGTTTTATTGGCCTTTAGGTGAAAGTTTATTTAACAAATGAATTTTTGCTTAATAGTTGATTTTCAAATTGTTCCGTTACATGGATTGCAATTCCTGAAATGGATCAGCACTCTCCCCAGTTCCACCTTGGTTTTTCCCTTTTCCATTTATCCAGTTCCTTGGTCCCCCCTCCCTACCATCTTGTCTTTACTTTTTAGCAGATGTTGCCCTTTTAGTCTTTTACACCTGATTGTTCTGTGGAACACATCTTCTCTGGAGATTGTTTATTTTATAGGCCAGTCTTTCGTTTGGTTAAAACATAGTCTCCAGAGTGACTTCAATTCCAAATTAGAAGGTGGTCTTTGAGTAATAATCTCAGGGGATCCTTCAGTCTCTGTCTGACTAGTAAGTACAGTTTTTTTGTTTTGTTTTTTTTTGTAAGTACAGTTTTTAAAATGAATTTTAGTTGTTCCTCCACCAATTCGAACTAGGTTCTTCTATTGTGTTCCTAATTAGAGTGTTTGATGGTGGTAGTTGGGAACCATCTAGTTCTTCTGGTCTCAGATTAGAAGAGACTGTGGTTCTTGTCGGTCTTTGGTCATTTGGACTAATTATATTTGCTTAGTTTTATACTCTTCTTCCCAGAAATGATTATTAATTTTTAGAATTTATTCCTTTGAAGTAGCAGCACCTATTCTACTTTGGTTTGGGCCAATAAATGGTCTGTATCTCTATGTTAGTTTCCTTAGCTGTTGCAAAAACATAACACCAGCTCGGTGTCTTAAAAGAACAGAAATGTATTCTTTCACAGTTCTGACACAAGAAGTCATAAATTGGGCTCCTCTGTACCAAGCCTTTTCGTAATTTGATGCCCAACAATCCTTCATGTTTCTTAACTTGTAGATACATTCACATAGCCAGTAACTGTTTCAGGGCCTCTTCTCCTTTATAAAAACAGCATTCCAATTAGGACATTCCCAACTCCAGCATGCCCTCGTGTTAACTAATGGTATCTTCAAACCCTGTTTCCAAATACAGTCACATTCACAGGTACAGGGATCAGGACTTCGTCATATCTTTTGGAGAGCACATAACTTCATCCCTTTTTTCTTTTTATTTGGAAAAACATGTAGAGAAGTTAGACAAATATTTGAGATTCATATTTGTAAAAATAGTGTGGCATTGGAGGCACGTAGTAATCTCCTTTAACTTCACAAGTAGAAAGGAGGATCATTACTAGCATCAGCCCAAGGTTGCTTCCTATGAGATAATTAGACATACCTTCTCCTCCCAACTCTTTTGTCATTTTGACATCAGCCGTCCTTCATACAGTACTCCCTGTTTCTCTGTTAGATTAAATAAAGTCATTGCAATGGCCATAAAGAACTCAGACAGTACTCAGGATTATGAGGTTTGTTAGGGAGGAAAGAGGTCGTAATTTAGGATCAAAAATGTCTTAGGATATAATGCTTCAATTTAGACAATCTCTCCTCAGCCATGCCTGCAGAAAGTTGTCTCTGGTCTTTGGCTCCCATGACCTCTCAGTTTGGATTCTGTCCTACTTGGGCAAGTGTTAAAAGTTTTTACATCTGCCAATAAGTGCTCAGAGGCATCTCATTTTGCCATCAAGCTTTGGCCCTGAGGTGCTCAGCTATAGCTCTTCCAAATGCCTGGAGGCACCTCTACTCCACCAGCAAGCCTTTTGTCTGAAGATGCATCTCTGGCCAAGGAAGCCCACCATTCTCTCTCCGTCTTTATGCTCTCTCTACTGATGAGCTACGTGTGTGTGAGTGTGAGTGTGTGTGTGTGTGTGTGTGTGTCTCCTTCTCTCTCTTATATTGAATCCTGACAGTCTTAGTTCTGTAGACATTGTTGCTTCTCATAGTTTGTCATTTTCAGTATTAAGCGCTCTCGTCCTGCCCTCTCTCTGCTCCTGTTTCTTGAATCTAGAAGAATCTCAGCACAGGAATCTTGGATCCTAAGGATGTGCCCCATTCCTGGCTTTTCTTTCTTGGTGGTAGTGAGATTTTTCCTCTTCTCTGATCAATTCTCTCTTCTTTATCACTTGTAATACAAAAAAGGTGTCATTTAAACAAGGGCATAACAGACCATTTTTTACTAGTTAGGATAGCTATTACTTAGTTTTAAGATGACTTCAGGGAATATTTTTGTTTTAAAAATTATCTCAGGCTAATAATATCAGAGGTTAATCTGGCCTCTCCATCTCCAGAAAGTCTTAAAGTCTATAGAATTTTTAAATCTGTTCTGCATTTCCCCCAACTTGATCAAGATTATTCTATGAGATGTTTGATCAAAACACTAAGTAATGGTAACTGCGCACTGTCCAGTTCTACTGGTCTCATGATGGGTCTTATGTGAGTCCTACTTTGTTTATGTGTGATATCATGGAATTCATATTGGGTTGAATTTTATGCAAAAGTGTTAAGAAAAATATTCACAGTCTAATTCTGGGCGTGTGTACATTTCAGGCCAGGTGTTGCATTCAGAGATGCACCACAGTGTGCTGTGGGATGTGCTCTACTGAAGTCTCTGTCCTGGAATCCTCTGTGAATTTAGAGGATTCTTATGGTTGAGACAGTTCCTGTGGCTGGGACTGTCAGTACAGTGGAGAATTGGCAGTTAAATTTCTTGTCATGAAAATATGCTTGCTCTCTTTGACATTCAGAGGAGCCCTTATGAAGCTTTGGTTAAGTGCTCAGTTAACTGTCCAAAAGGTCAGTAATTTGAACATACCAGCTGCCCTGTGGTTGGAAGATGTGGCTATCCGTTTCCATAAAGATTACATACAGCCCAGAAAGCCTTATGGGGCAGTTTGCTGTTTTACAGGGTTACTATGAGTTGGAATCAATACAATCACAACGGTCTTCCTCCCCCCCCTTATATCCACTGACTTGATATTCTCTTATCTATAGGATTCTACTTCAGGAGAAAAGAAATTGTCTGCTTAGGCAACTGGAAGAAGCCACTCGTTTAAAGTCCTATCTCCAGTCCCAGCTAAAGAGGTTGGTTACTTTAAAAGAGAAAGTGTCCTTGTTATGTCTTAATGACATTTCCTTGAACTTGGATTTTCTCCCTGTGCAACTTGGACCCTGAGGTGGTAGTAAAGAATAGAAAAGGGGACTAGTGATATTTTTTAACTTGACCTACTAATAATATATGAGTCAGTGATAATGAGGATAATTGATGCAGAAAAACCAGTCTAAAGCCAAATGTATTTGTGGATTTTTTTGAATCTAAATCACAGTTTCAGAAGTGTCTATGTATAGCTACATATAAGCATACATACACTTTAATTTAGGTATTTTTTTTAAAAATGAATATTTTAAAACTAAGTGAATTGGGGTGCTCAATGACAGCTCATGTCTTTAAGTACTTGCTGTGTAGTGAAGTATGATTTTAAGGGCTATGTCTGGCCTGTTGTCTCAGTTACTCCTCCTAAAGGTACCTTGAGGTAGAAACAGTTATTATCCCAGTCTTGGCATAGTGATGAGCTTAGGGTTGTTAACTAACCTGACCTAATGTACTCAGCTGATATGTGCTTCAGCCTGATCTTCAAATCAGGCACTTGTGCTCTGGAGCCCTTGATTTTAGATTTTAACCCTTGCTCCATGGTGCCATTATAAAGGTCCAAGGTAGAGATTCATGAAGGTCCATTAACAGCTGTGTCGGGGTTTTCCGAATCCTCCAGTTAGTGGGGGTGTGAGGCTGGATTGTCCTCCTTACAGAGCAGCCTAGAAGCAGGGGACCCCGGTCTCCGGGATGATGTGCTCAGAGTGCAACTTCTCTTTTTGCAGCCTGTCAGCCAGCACCCTGACGGTGTCCTCAGGTAGCAGCCGGGGCTCGCTGGCCTCCAGCCGGGGTTCCCTGGCCTCCAGCCGGGGATCCTTGAGCTCCATCAGCTTCACCGACATCTATGGCCTACCACAGTATGAGAAGCCTGATGTTGACAGCAGCCAACTCTTACGCTTTGACCTGATTCCGTCTGACTCCGTGGGAAGAGATGGCCCTATCTCTGATTCTCCTGGCCCCTTGTCTGCCAGTGGCAATGGCAATGGTGGCGGCGGTGGTGGCGGCAGCGGCACTGGTATTTGCAGTGGTGGTGGCACCAGCGGCTTTAACAAGCCAAGGCGGTCCCTGGACACTCCACAGTCGCTGGCTTCTCTGTCCTCTCGATCCTCCCTGTCCTCCCTGTCTCCCCCAAGCTCGCCTCTGGACACGCCCTTCCTCTCAGCCTCCAGGGACTCTCCACTGGCCCCAGTGGCAGATAGCATTGAAGTGCCAGGCCTGGGCATGCTAGACAGGCTGCGGGTCCAGGCCTCTGCTCTGGGAGATGAAGAGCTGCCGGGGGCAGTGTCCATCCAGCCACGCCTGTTCCCCTGTGAAGAGGAAGGATCTCGAGAGCGAGGACCCCATGTGGCCAGCGCTCCTGCAGGTGGCAGTAAGTATCCACAAGGCCTGTGGGTTTTCACAGTCCTGCGAAGAAGTGCGTGCAGGTAGTTGCACTGGGGCCCCTGGCGTTTCCAGTGCATTGTGAGCTTTGCATTTAGGAGCTTGCTGGGGTTCTGCAGAGTGCAAACCCTCTGCTGATCTGTGTAGTTCCACTGTGGGACTTCCTGCATCTGGAACAATAATGTCACTTGGCAAAGATGCCTTTCCCACATTTTTGGCTTGTTGCCAGAAAGCCCGTAGTAGTTGTTGAAAATGAGCTAAGAACCACACAATATTCCATATTCAGAGGATGATAAAGATATAATAGGGCCTTAAGGAGTTCTGCAGGGAGTGTGCCTGGGTGGAACATTATGTGTGCATGTACCCATTGAAGACCACACATGGACTGTGGGCTGGTTGGAGCTGAGAGAAGTCTCTATGACCTTTCCAACTGGAAGCAATATTTATTGCTCCTTTACTGCCATCCCTGAGACCTTAGGCAAGGACCAGAGACGTTTTTGGTTGTAACAATTGGGTGCAGGCAGGATGCTACTGGCTTCTCAGGGCAGATGCCAGGGATGCTGCTAAACACCTTACAGGGCACAAGCCAGCCTCTCAAAATGAGTTTCACAGATGGCAATATGGCCAACACTGAAAAAAACAGTTAACTTACCATGGGATCATTTAGCACAAAGGATCAAAACAGAACTTGGATACAAAACTAGTGTAGGATAGTGGAAACTACTTTGAGTTGGCAGCTTAGAGACCTGTGTTCTGTTCCGTGGTCTGTTGACTAGTAGTTCTGTGACCTTGAGTTTGAAATTTCCCTTCATTCATTCCAGTCTTTGTTTCCCCATTTTTTAACAAACCGATCTTGATGGGCCCTCATGTTGACCACCAAGGAGGCCTTGTGCTGCTGTAGTCTTAAGCATTGGGCTTCTGGCCAGAGAGTTGGCATTTCATGCCCATTAGCCACTATGAGGGAGAAAGATGAGGTAGGTGGTCTGCTCTGGTAGACTGACAGCCTTGAAAACCCCATGAGGCAGTTTGACGCTGTCCTGTGGAGTATGGCCTCCACCTAAGTCAAACTGACTTGACAGCAAAGGGTTGTGCTGATTACCATTCTCTTACCCATGACTTGCATATGTGTCAGGAGTCCCTGGTAACCTTGTATATTTAACCGGAGACCTGTCCTGTTCTGCGACAGTACTGGGCCCTTCTTGCTCTGCTGTTGTGTTTTCCTCTCTGTGTTAAACCTTTCATGCCCTCAGATACACAGTTTCTGGAATTCACTTATCCAGGGACATGTAGTTTACAGGGCACTGCCTCCTAGACACAGGTTTGTTCTTCTGTGTTTATGCCTTGCATTTAAAACAGCAAATATACACCTAGAACTGGATTGCCCCTCTGTCATTGCTGAAGTTTATTTTCCTCTTAGTAATTTTTACTCCTTTACACTCAAAAATAAAAAACTCATTGTTGTCAGGTTGCCATCAACTCATAGTTGACCTGCGCTGGGTTTCCAGGGCTGTGAATGGTCGGGAGGAGATTGCCCGCCTTTGTGTTGCAGAAGCCCTGGTGGGCTCAGACTGCTAGTGGGTGCAGCCTTTGGGCTGGCAGTGAAGGCACTCCTCCCTGGCGAGGTATGAGAGTGTCTGTCTGACCATCAGAAAATCACGACACCAGGATAAAGACGGGATGTGAGGGAGAAGAACTGACTTGGGGTCTGATCATTTGTTGATCGGCTTCCTGTGGGGTCAAACTACTTAGACCAGGAGATCCTTGCTCATGTTACATGAGCATTGATACTGCCACCTGGTGGTCAACACCCACATGCTAGCGTCAGTAGTGTCCTTTTTACAAACATGAAATGATTACCTCACTCAGTGGGGCCTGTTGGGGGACTTCCTGAGGGCCGAGTTGTGTAACAAGCTTCAGGCATGGGCACAGAACGATGGACCCCAGAGCAGTCTTCACACTCATCAGGAACTCGTTCCCTTTATCAGTGCCCACAGTTCCCGCCAACTGTAGAGTCCTGTGCGAAGGAACGCTGTCTACGTGTGACCTCAAGCACGCTTCTGTCACATTTTCCCAGATCAGATGCCATGACGTTGATTCCGGCTCACAGCAGCCACACATGCTTCAGAGGAGAGCTTAAGCTCTCTCTGATCTTCAGTGGCTGATTTGAATATATCACTGGACCTTCTAGAAAAAAAGAAGCATCGGGATTTTGAAATGCCTTTTTTTTTTCTTTAAACAAAAAAAAGCAACCCATTTGCATTTGCTAATCTAAATCTGTAAAAGCTTTGACCTCGCTTGTCTGTTCAGTGACAATTTATAGACATTCTGTTTAAATTATTAGCTTAAATTTTGCAAATTTTTTCACTTGTCCTTTTTTCTTCTCTTGAATCTTGTCTCTCATGCAGCATGACAGAAACATTCACTGTAAGTTACCTTGCAATTCCCATTTGCCTTTATTGGTTAGGCTCTGAATGCATCTTTGTGTAGTGGATAAATGTCTTTCTTATGGCCAGGGTGTAGCCAAGCAGAGCATCTCATATCACTCTGTTGTGCTATAGCTTATCTGTTATGATGATGGTTACTGTTATTCTGTCTGTATGAATGTTCATAGGACTACAGAAGTTGTGTGAGAACGTCTCTAAAAGTTTTGGCTGTTTTATTTCCTTTGTGTAGTTCCTCTCTCCCTCAAACGTAATGGTTTTGCTCTGTTAACACACCATCTTAGTACTCTGCCCTGCCCATGATGATGTGATTTTCATTGAATTCTATTCCTTTTCACAAGGCCCTGTTGATACCCGTAATGTCAGAAGGGTGGTCAGTCAGGCAGGCAGGTCGCCTGGCTGGCCTTGATGATGAAGAGCCACGCCTATTCCTTGCTTCACTTGCGCTTTGCTCTCTGCTTCACCTGGAGCATAGCTGGCAGTGCCTTGGGTTACCTGGGCCGGGACTCACTGAGCATTAAGTGCTTCTCTCCTTTGTCCCTTCATCAACCCCCTTTTTGATGATGAGAGAGCAGTGGCCTCTGCATCTGTCATTGGGTGAACTGGAGCAGCTTGGGCTTGTTCGGCAGTGTTGTTTCCTAAAACAAAACAACACAAATCCCAAAACCCGAAGCCAAAGTCAACTGCCACCAAGTCAACGCTTCCCTGGTGACCTTCTGTACCCAGCATTGGACTATACTCCTTAGCATTTTCAGTGGCTGGTGTTTTGGTAGATCTCCAGGCCTTTCTTCTGAAGTGCCTTAAGGTAGACTCAAACCATCAACCTGTTGGTTAGGAGCTCAGCATGTTAACTGTTCACACTCTTTGGGACTCCATTATTCCCTTATAGAAATGGAGGGCCTGCCTCAGAAGTGTGGCCAGTTCCAGGGCTGGGAATGGCAACACTGATCTGTTTTGTTTTCTGGGGATCCATGCAGCCTACTGCTATATCTCATTGGCAATTGTAGGTCAGGGGCTTGGGCCCTTTGCACATGGCTGAGTTGGAGAAATGAACTGGACTGAGATCTGACCCACATTTAGAGCCCCGGGACTTCTGGGGAGGGCAGAAGGGTACCAGCTTCTCATTCCTGGCTGAGTAGAGGAGAGGCACCTCACCTCTGGGCTTAGCCTCCTGGTTACATTTTGTTTCCAGTTGAAAACTGGAAATTGAAATTGTGAAATCAAATGTCATAGTCCTGTTGCTTTAGTTGGTGTGAATAATGATTTTGTTTAAAAGAGGACTGGTTGTAGAATTGACCATCTTTTGGGATCACAAATGTCGAGGTTTTCCAGTTGTTGATTGAGCTTATATAGCCAGAGAAAAGTACAGGGATGCCACCGGGAGCAGGTTTTTATGATCACAGGGCATCCTGGCCACATTTCTAAACCTCATGCTTTGATTCTGTTTACTAATTAAGTGTGGCTTGGTGTAAAATGATTATAATTCCATATTTAGCATAGATTCCTATGAGGTGCAAATGAGGTGGGTAGAAGAAAAATTATTAAATGTTACAAAGAAAAATGCCAGTGCTTATCCGTAGCTTTATATTAAAGTAGATATGAAGCTCGGGAATCAGCTGACTAGTTCTGAAGGGAAGGCCCCAGAGCTGTTGGGGTGATCCTGCAGTCTGAAGCACAGTCACCTCATCTCTGTGACCATAGGTCCCTGAAGAAATGCTTTCAAAGTTTGCCCTCATAGAAATGGATGCTCTCTGCTCAGCTCATCCTGTGACTTGAGTGAAAGCTGTTAATTTTTTTTCTTTTTTATTTTTTTTGTTTTTTTTTTCTTTTTTGTTGTTTTGCTTTTTTTTTTTTTGAAAGCTGTTAAATTTTATTTTGGACCAGTCAGACTTTTTTTTTTCTGATTATAAATGCAATATATGTTTATTGTATAAGATGTGGAAAACATCAACCAGTATGAAGGAAAACATGCAGAAGTGCCATTAACCATTTTGGGGACATAACGCTGGGTCTTTTGTTTCCGCGAGTCTGTCCTAAAGTGGTACAAAGAGGCTTCCTCCCAGCATCCGGAGTAGTGTGTGTTTGTTAAGGAGATGAAAAGACAGGTATGATTCTAAGTGTTAAGAGTTGAAAGAACTTTTAAAGAAAGAGATAAGTTCCTTCATTTCTTCAGGTTTTCAGAGTTGAAAAAGACAGGGCATAGTGTGTCTAGCTCCATGTCCATATCTCCGACAGTGTGCCTCTGGAGCACGTGGTAACTTCTCCTGTGTCTTCTTTCTAGCAGGGACTCTTCGAGAAGACAGCAGCAAGAGGCTGGAAAGGAGAGCGCGTCATGTCTCTGCGTGCCTGTCTGACTATGCTCTAGCCAGCGAAGGTGGCGGGCTGTTTGAACCTTTAATCATAAGGTCAGAAGCTTATCTTAGTTTCCACTCCCTAACCCGACTTGCTAACAGCATTCCTGTTAAGTATGGAACCAGAAAAGTCACAGGTTGAGATTGTACGTACTGAAATTTTACTGCTCTCTCTGGGATCAGAATATCTTACAAACTTGTTCCAACTGTCGGAGATTGGGCTTTTGCAAATGGAGAGGCTAGCTCTTGGATCCTGTGTGGTGTTTGGAGACTGGCTCAGTTTTATAGTTTGGGGGAGATTTCTCTCTTTCTGGCCCTGCTGGATATAATTCAGTAGAGCTGGAAAAAGAGACTCTGTTATTAGGAATGGACCTCCTCACTCCCCCTTCCAGAGCGGTAGGGCTCAATGGTAGGTGACAAAATAGCTTTTGGGATCTTGTGCTTTATTTTGATTGGATGTTTTCGATGTAAGCTGTATCTTCATACATTAGTAAATCTCAGGAATCTTTAAGACATTTCAGGTATTGCCAACTTTTTCCAAGTGATTTGGAACTTTACCCTGAATAGCTCATGTGATTTTGAATGGAATGCAGAGTTACTTTCTAAAAAAAGAAAAAGAAAATGGCTTGCCAGCAGGTTACCAGTGAACTCTGTCCTGGGCCATGGACCCAGGCACCTGTTGTGCCCTTTCAGCCCTATAGTGAGTTGACTTCTATGGAAGTTTTGTAAGACCCTTCTAAATAAGACAGGAACACTCTTGACATGAGAGTGCTTCACCAGAATCTGTGTCACCCTCTGCTGCTTGAAGTAAAGCTAGGTGACTTTCCAATTGTGTGTAGGAATGAAGATGCTGAGGAGACTGGCGGTAAAGAAGAGCCCCAGATCCACGTGGGATTTTTGTGAGTACAGAAGACTCCTTCCATGTCTTCAGTGTAGATTCAGGTGCTCTGCCAGGGTCTATCTCTATCTGGCTAGTGACAGACCCTGGATACACGAGGTGAGATGGGGTGGAGGGGACATTTCCGAGTGCTGCCCTATCCTTGATACATCCAGGACCACTGCAGTGGGTCTTTGGTGAGGGAGGGAGAGGTGATGGTTATGGAGGACTGGCTGCCTGAGGGCTGTCTGTCAGCACTTAGATCCTACAGGTGACTGAAGTACTGTGAATACCAAAAGCTTCTGGAGAAGTCTTGACTCTTTAGGGAAAATGATCACTTATTTCTGCAAAGAGTTGATTCCACTCATGACAGCACAGATAACAAGACCCTTCTGCACATTCGCAGAGTCGGCCACCCAGCGATTTGTAACAGAACAAATTTGAGTTTCTAATTTCAGTATCAGGAAATGCCCTGACCATTGATGGCCGCATGAACAAGGCAGGATGTTCCTATGCAAACATTCCAGACTTTCTCCCCTTTGGTACTGCTGATGTTTGGGACTAGCTAATTCTGTTGTGGGGCCGATTCTATGCACTAGAGGAACGGCATCCCTGGTTTCTCCTGACTAGATGCCAGTAGTGCCTCCACAGTTTTGGCAACTGTCTCCAGGCATTGCCCAGTGTCCCCTGGAAGGCCTCCTCACAACTTGTGGAGAGCCATACTCTAGTTTGTTCAGCAGGATCTCTCCACTTTGTGGGGTTTGCAGTTGATAAATCAGCATTTTCTTTTCTAGGCACGATAGCAATAGTGAATGTCTTCTCGTAAATGTGCTCCAGTTGAAGAACCTTGCTTGGCTGGGTGTGAAAGAAAACTGCAAAATGTGAGCTCAGGTCGTGGTGAGGGCTGGGATGTGTTCCTCAGGGTGGGAATGTGTCCAGCCAATGGTGTCCTCTCCTAGGCTCTCAGTAGACAACTAAGCCTACTGGTTTGATTTTTTTTTAATATCTATGTTGCAAGTGAAAAGATAGTTTTGGAACCTGAATTTACAATAAAACACCAAGGAAGGTCTGTTGGGAATATAAAGGATTATAAATATTAAAAAACATCTAGCATATTATTTCAGGCAGACCCAAGCTATTACTGTGCTGTGTAATGGAAATCTGAGGATTGCCCCACCAGCAGTATAAGAGCCATTCCTGGTCCCAGGACTGGATTGGTGCTGAGGTAGCTACACACTGCCTCTGACTTTGAGTGATGTTTATTAAAAGGCCTCAGAAAACAACTATATCACCTCACCCCTGTAAGAATAGCAAAGTTTGACAGAACAGCAAACAACAAATGCTGGCGAGGTTGTGGAGAAACTGGAACCCTTGTTCACTGTTGGTGGGAGTGTAAAATGGTGCAACCACTGTGGAAGGCGGTATGGCGCTTTCTCAAAAAGTTGCAAATAGAAAATACCATTTGACCCAGCATTTCTACGACTGGGAATATACTGTAAAGAAACCATAACTGCCACCCAAGCAGATATATGCACACCCATGTTTATTGCAGCTTTGTTCACACTAGCAAGGAGTTGGAAACAACCCAAGTGCCCATCAAAAAATGAACGGATAGAGAAGTGGTATATTCACACAATGGAATACTATGCTGCGTTGAAAAACAAGGAACTCATGAATTATTATATTATACAAAGTAGGTGACCCTGGAGTGAAATATCTCAGTAACAAAAGGACAAATACTGCATAGTGCCACTGTTGTAGAATGGGACTGACGTCAGGGTTGGGGGGGACTGAGAAAGGTGGGTGCAATAATGTATACGGCATTGAAACAGATGAGAGAGAGAACTGTTTAAAAGGGATATATGATTAGGTATTACTGTCATGACATGAGTCCAGAATGAAGGCTGCATAGTGACTGTGGGGCGGGATGAATTGTAAAACAATGAAAGCTTTTTTTTTCTTGTCAAAGAGAAAAGTGAACTGGAGGAAGGGGTGGGCGGGGAGGAAAGTGTGCAACAGTGAGTGAAAGAAAATAAAAAAAAAATAATTTTTTTTTTAAAAAGGCCTCTGACCAGTGCAACACAAAAAGACAAACAACCCAATCCAAAAACTGGACAGAGACCTTAAATAGCCATTTCACCAGAAATGATCTGCAGATGATCAAGAAACACAGGAAAATTGCTCATTATCTTTAGTTAGTAGGAAAATGCAAATAAAAATCGACAACCTCTTCAACACATGGTGCTGACAAAACTGGACTTCTACCTGCAGAAAACGGAAAAAGGATTCACAGTTCACATCATGCATCATGCATGAAAATCAACTCAAGGCGGAACTGAGACCTAGGCATAAAGCCCCAAACCACAGAGATTATAAGAGACAAGTGGGACCAAACTTGGAATCCCAAGCCTATGACATAAATAGGGTGGCAAATATAGCCAGAAATGCGCAACTTGGAGAGGATAAAATCGATGAATGGGACCTTCTAAATATCAAGTCCCTATGTGTATCAAAAACTTTTTTCAATAGGGTGAAAAGAAAGCCTACCGAGTGTGACAAAATATTGGGCAGTGACATCACAGACACAGATCAATAACAAAAGTTTACAGAATCCTACAGGGCCTCCACAAGAAGAAGACTGGTAACCGGATCACAAAATGGGCAAAAGACGGGGAAAGACTTTTCACAAAGGAAGGCGTTCAAATGACTAACAGACCCATGAAGAAATGCTCAGAATCACTGGCAATAAAAGAAATGCAAGTCAAAATTACAATGAGATACCATCTTGCCCCAGTAGCAGTAGCAAAACATAACAAGACAGCAAGCAATAAATGTTGGAGGGAGTGTGGAGAGACTGGAACTCTCATGTATTGCTGGTGGGATTGTAAAATGGTGCAACCACTCGGGAAGGCAGTTTGGCATTTCCTAAAAATGCTGAACATAGAAATTCCATATTACCCAGCTATTCCACTCCTAGGAATGATACCCCTAGGAAAATAAAACTGAGACACAAATGGGAATTTGTACACCTGTGTTCATAGCATTCACAATAGCAAGAAAATGGGAACAGCCCAAATGTCTGTCAACAAACTTATGCACTGAGAAATTATGGTGTGTTCACACACACACTCACACACACACACAGTGGAATACTATGTAGCACTAAGGAACAACGATTTTGTAAAATACTGTATAATGAGGGAAAGTATAGAGAGAATTACGTTGAGGGAACTAACTGTCTCATAAGGACAAGTACTATATAAGACCATTATTATAAAAAGAGAAGGATAACTGAGGGAGATGTGTATAAAAGCACAAAAGAGAAAGGAAGATGGAGGAAAAAGATGGAAAAAAGGCAAAGGCGGAAAACACTAGTGCGAAGATGGGAGGTGGTGGTGAAGGAATAGGAAAGATTTAATAGAGACTTGAAAAACCGTGCTAATTATAGACATAGATCAATAGTATTAGTTATATAAAATATGTGTTAATGATTATATGAAACACAGTGAAATGAAAGATTGTGTAAAGCACAATGTACATGAATGAAGCACAATGTATACAAATTCTTATATGCAAAAAATAAAACAACAAAAATGTCAGAAAGGAAAAAACGAACCACACTAAGGTACTACTTCCTACCCACTAAGACTGCTCTGATCAGAAAATAGTAAGTGTTCATAAGGCAGTGAAGAAATTGAGACCCGCATCCATTTCTGGTGGGAATATAAAATGGGTCCATTGCTGTGGAAAATAGTATGGTGGTTCCTCACAAGATGAATGAGACATAGAATTTCTGCATTTCATATTTCTTTCCTCCCCAAGCAATTCCATCCCTAAGTGTAGACTCCCTCGAAAAAAAACCAGAAGCAAGAACACGGATGCTTGTACTTCATTGTTCATTGAAGCATTATTTACAATAGCCAAAAGGTGAAAACAGTTCACATGTCTATCAACAGATAAACGGCTAAATAAAATGTGGGTATAAATACAGGAGGGAGCTCTTGTGTCCTACTGGTAGGGAGTTGCACTGCCAACTGAAAAGCAGGCAGTTTGAATCCTCCAGCTGCTCCAAGGGAGAAAGTTGAACAGTCTCTTCCTATGTGATTTATAGCCTGAGAAAACCTGTTGGAGGGTCAGCTATGAGTTGGTTTTAAATCCACAGCACATAACAACATATATTCATTAGATTTTCTCTTAGTTGAGAAAGGGCATTTCCAGAAGATTTTGAAATTTGACCCATGGGTATCTAAAAAAAGGAACATTTCGGTGCATGTATTTGCATGACTTACACATTTTGTCTGTCAGATCCATCATGAAGGGTCCCCTCCCTCTCTTTTCAGCCACATCCGTGTCTACCTACCATCACTCGACTCGGGCATGCTCAACACCTACTGCTCTCAGGCCCTAGAATTTCAGGCCTCGCTGGTATTTAATGAAGTTTTCCAAATCCCTGTGCAGTCAAGCATGTTGACATTGAAGTCCCTTCAGTTATACGTATGTTCTGTGAATCATCAGCTGCAGGAAGAACTGCTGGTACGGCCTGGCGCTCTTGCTCTTGTGCTGGGCTGCTTGGCTTTCTTGTTTCTTCCACCTTTGGAGTCTTTTTTTCCCTTTCTTTCTCTTTCATAGTTTCTCCTTCCCACCTTCCTTTTCGCTGCTTCTCCTTCTCTCCCTCTTTCTTTCCATGTCCCTCTTTTCCTCCTTATCTCTCCTTTCCTCCTCTCGTCTTCGCCCCTCCCCTTCCTTCCTATTTCCTTTGGCGGATGGCTTAGAAATGATAATGATGCAAAGTGGTCTCTTACTGGAATGAAAGAGATGAGTGTTAATTGCATTTATTTGTTCATATATTTCATGCTATGCTTATGTATAACTCAGTTCATGCTGCAGCCCTGCCCTCTGAGACAGCATCAGTTTTACTCAAAGTGGATTCATTTTTTAGCTCAGGGGAACTAATTAGAGTTTACAGATTTAGTACACAGAAAGACTTGACACCTAGCTGGAATTGAATTGCAAATATTTTTTAAGAATATATTCTTTACGATATTTGTGGCATACCTATAAAAAATTGGTTTTTTAAAAAAAACACAACAGACAAACACAAACCATAGTGTATTTGAAACTCCAATTTCATGAAATGCCCTTTTTTCTTTCTGTCAGGCCTGGAATTTGGACACCAAAGGATCCAGCAGCTTGTCCTCAGGCCCACACAGTCATTCAGTGACCGGGCCCTGATTCAGAAGCCAGAACGGGCTCTGTTGGTCATGCACCTTCAGTGCAGAATTGGGGTGTGCAGAGCAGAGTTCGGCTAGTCCTCTCCTGTTCTGAACATCCTGGAGAGAATCTGTAGTTCATCAATTGCTGGAGCCCTCAAGCAGCCCAGCACCCCAGGCTCCCCATTCTCTGGTCCTTTTCCCTCCAGCACAGAACTCTTCCTGATTGAGCTGACCAGGAAGAAGGCACCAGAGCCGCCCTTGTTAGCTGCCTCCTCAGGCACTGTCATCTGACTGTAGGCGGCCACCTCTTTTCAAGAAGTTCTCTATTTTAGCTCTTTCTCGCTTCCAGTTGAAAAATGCATTTGATATGTTAAAAGCCTTCTGTGTTGGGCTGAACTCATTCATTGCCTGCTCTGGCTTCCTTGCAGGGCATTGCTCAGATTAATTTGGCCGACTATGAAAGTTCCAGCAACATGCAGCTGCGCTGGTATTCCGTTCAGGTCTTCACCAGCCCCGAGCCCCAGAGGAGCCGGGAGAAGGAGAGGGCGGAAGAGTGCCCTCCACAGGAGCCCTCCAGTGTGGACGGCGGGAGGACGGTACGCTTCTCAGCTTCTAGGGGGCTGTCGCAACCGCTCTCCTTGCTTTGAGACTGGTGCTCAGGGGAGTGGTTTCTAAAAAGTGATTATTCAGATTTAAAGTCCTGAGTGCGGGAGAAATGAAGAAGTAGAGTTTTGAGAGAAATGATAATCACGGGGCCTGCAGCCTATCCTTGTTCTTTGGGGATTCCGTATTTGATAATTGGCCTACTCACTAAAATTGGTTTGTAGCTCCCAAATCAATCTTCATGGCATTTTTTGAAGTCAGTTGGGAACAGTATGCAGTGGCAAGGCATTTGGGTTGCCTGATATGAACCTTCCCAGCTGAGGTGGGGAAAGGGACCCCGCTGTGTTCTTCTTTCAGCTCTCCACGTCAGTATCTGTTTGACAGTCTGTTGAGTGGCGTTTTTTAAAATTTTTTTTTTCATTTCTGTGTGGGATGTTGATAATTTCACAATCTCATATTCCTAAATACAAGAAGGCCATGATGTGCTTAGGAAAAAAAATACCTGTGTTAACTTGAACTTCACTCGGTATATAGCACACTGTTCGCCATAAGATCAGTGTTAATATGACAATTTTATAATAAGTTTTAACAAGTATTTTCTTTCCTTTGCTGTTTTTAAAAAGATATCTGGAAGAACATATACATTTAACAATTTCTCCACAACAATCCAGTCAGTGATATCTGGTGACATTCTTCATCATGATAATTTTTTCAGTACCAACGTATTTATGATCACGACTGACTCATGGCTGGTTGTTTTTCACTCTGAGCCTTCAGAGCTCTAAGCCAGTGCCATGCTGACGTACCTCTAACGGTGGGGGTGAGTTTCTCCCCAGAGGAGCAGTTGAGAACAGCTGTCTGTGTGGTGAGGTCAGCTGCACGCTGTGTGGTGATTGGCGTCGGGCACTTGTGATGGTGGCTGCTCTGTTGAAGCCAGTTCTCAGCATTCCCACTGTCCTTGCAGGATGCGGTGACGGTGCTGCTAGCCAGAACCACAGCCCAGCTGCAGGCTGTGGAGAGGGAACTGGCAGAGGAGAAGGTAAAGCTGGCATGTTCTGAGACCAAGATCTTGCTGGAGGAGCAGCGCAAAGGCCAGATGGAGGCCGTGCCCAACAGGTAGATGGCAGTGATGTCTCCTAGTGGTCAGCTTCATCCTTGCCCAGGCCACGGAGTGTGAATGCTGTTGTGGCAGTGAGTTCTCCAAAGGTGTGCCTGTGTAAACACTCCTCAGTGCAGTGCAGCAGCCCTCTTGGGATGACGTGCTGCCATGCTACTAGGCCTGGCTCTGCTAGACCTCACCTCTCAGGGAATATAATACCACTCTGAAGAAGACAGGACTTTGAATGACCCCTGCTCTCCCTCTCTTTCCCTGCTTTTCACTTCTTCTATTCTAGAATTTCTCAGGAAGACTCAGATAATTGAGGGACTCCACACTGCCAGGACTGAGTAAAATAAGATCCCTTGATGGTACTTTTCTTCAGAGCTTTATTGAGAGCTAACTCACATCCTGTCCAGTTCATCCTTTGGCAGTAAACAATGTATTGATTTCCCCCCCATGTATTCAGAGTTGAACAACCATCACCGTAGCCCATTGTAGAACATTCCATCACCCTCAAAGAAAGCCTGTACTGATTAGAAGTCATTGCCTGTCTCCCCTGTTTAGACGCCCAGTAATCTACTTTGTGTCTTCATGGTCTCCCCTATTCTGGTTGTTTTGTGTAAGTGGAGTCGTGGCCCATCCCTCTAAGGTTTACCAGAAGCAGACCCTGTGAAATGGATGAAGGACTCAGATGAGCAAGACCCTCCTGTCTGCTGGAGTCCGACTCGTCATCTCTTTGGTCACTTTCATGTTCATCTCCTGTGTTTTTCCCACACATAGTACCATATTCACAGACCATCTTGCCTTTCCCTAGTATCTTTCCCCAAAATTATGTCATGTTGTTGTTGTTGTTAGGTGCTGTTGGCTATGACACACAGAGGGATTTATTTGAAAGAAAAGAGAGCATGATGCGGGTGGAAAGTCCCGAGGGTGGGGGTGACCAGAAGCTGGAAGGGGCTAGTCCCCGCAGCTGCAGTGACCGGAGTTGTGTGAGGAAGGCGACAGATCCTCTTAATGAGACCTGGGAGATCTGTCTTCCATAGGAAACCTTTTGACTTTATGAGACAAGCTGCATCTTTAGTCATTAGTCTTGTTGGTTACACCTCTGCTACCACTCTCTGAAAGCAACAAAGATGTGAAGTCCTTTTGATGACTATTTCATGAGTTGGTTTTGTTTTCTTTTCTTTGCATTGTTCAACCTTTAGGAGTTGGCAAGCAGATTCCATCAATAGTGGGTGTAGCAACTGCACCCAGATCAGCCACCTGTACCCAGAGCCCCAGGGCATTGATATGGAATCTATTCATGGACACACACTTGCTGGCCAGTCAGTTCCTTGCAAACCCAAGCAACTTCAGCCTCTACCTCGTAAGGTAAGTTGAAGACATCAATGGCATTTACATTGACTTCTTAAATTTTGTGAGTCAATACTGGGCAGCGCCCTGGAAGGAGAGTCATGGGGTGTCCTCAAAGCCTTCCACCATGAAACATTAAGGTGTTGGCAAATGAGATCACTAAAAGGAAACAGAAGCTGAAATGCATATTCACAGGCACTGACACTGTCGCTTGCCTACAAATATACCCAGTGCTATGGTTCTGGATAAGTTAGGGCATGAAGTGGACAATACCATGGGAGTAGCTTATAGTAACGAAGGAGGTATGGTGAGGAAGATAAGGGGGCTCTGGTGCCATAATGGAGAGAGAGTTACTCTGCCAACCCAAAGACAGGCAGTTTGAATCCACTAGCTACTCCAAGGGAGAAAGAGGGGCAATTTCCTCTCATCTGAAAACCAGCGGGAGGATCAGCTCCGAGTTGGTTCCCACCCAAGGACATTGAGAGTAGAAGTAAGCGACCTAATATTTGTAAACTGTTTACATCTGCACAGCTGATGCCATAGGAGTGATTATCAACTTTCATGAAATTAAAAAAGGAAAAGGAAAATGGTAATTTTTTATTCCTTCATATATATGATGATCCATCCATTCCTATCTTTAGGAACAAATAAGGCTTGAGTGTTTCATTTTGAGGGTCCCAAAGGTTGTGGACACAGTGACCTGGCTAACAATTCCTTTGTAACAGTGGGAGCAGTGAAGGATCATTTCCACCCCTGTTCACCTTATCTTAGTGGTCACAGCAGATCTTTGTGAGGAAGCCCTTTGTGTGTGCAGTCACGAATGTCTAAGGAACCCAGTGAGGTTGGAAGACACTATTGGTGCTTCACTGAACTTCTGTTTCCCTGAGCTGGTTAGCTCCTCAAAGTATTTACAGCCATGGCTCCTGCCCTCATGGGCAGAATCAGAAATGCTGAGAGCAATAAAAACGGAACCTTGGCAGCTTCCCAGGATACATGAAAATAGATGAGTAATTGTTTGGGGCCAGGCTGCAAGTACTGATCCTCATTCTACTTTCTAAGAGTTTTAAAAGCATTAGTCCAAATCAGGGTGAGTGCCTGTGGGAGGGTAGTTTGATGTGCCCTCCACCCCCAATTTAGAGTTTCTAAAAATGTCAAAGCTATGGACAATTTGTTAGAACACCACACCCAATACCCATGTACCCTCCCTCTGTTAATTGCTGTTAGGTGCTGTTGAATTGATTGCAACTCCTGGTGATCCTGTCATGACCCTAGAGGACAGAGTAGAATTGCCTCAGGGTTTCCTAGGCTGTCATTTTAAAATATTAAAAATTCTTGTTTTAGTGTATCCTAACAGTATTACTTTGTAAGGTTTTTCCATATCAGTAATTTAAATATACGTGCTTCGGATCCACCAGCTGCTCTGTGGGAGAAAGATGAGCTGTCTCCTCTCGTGCGATTAACTGCCTCTGAGAACCTCCTGGAGAGTCAGCTATGGGTCGGTTCTGACTCAGTGGTACACGACATCACTGTCCACTATCTGAAAAGTCAGTGGGTCAAGTTCACCAGCTACTCTGTGGGGGAGAGAGGAGGTTCTAAACTTCATAAGAGCAGAATGCCAGGGTTTTCCTCCTGTAGAGCCGCCAGTGGGTAGACACCCTGGTGGGCCTCTCAAGAGTCCTCAGCCTTTTGTTAACAGCTTATCCACTGTGCCACTCGGACTCACCTAGAGTCCCCAATTGTTCTGGCTTTCCCATATCTGCATTCTCTCTTTCTGTGTGTATATGGCAGGCTTTTAAGATGCAACAATCAGTAAAACAAATGGAAACCCGTCCCCTTGAGGAGGAGGCAGATAACAGCCAGGCTACATTTAATAAAAGAGAAGAGTATCTTAGCTGGTTAAAGTGAATGGAGAATAAAAAATAATAACTAAAGCAGGACGTATGTTTTTAGAAAGCATAGGCTAGGAAGAAAGAGTGGTCATCTCATTGAGAAGGTAGATTTGTGTGGAGATTTGAAGTAAGGAAGCAGAGGACCTGGTGCAGGTCCTCTGAAGAGCATTTGGGGTTGGGAACAGCCAGTGTCCAGGCACTGGGGTAGGAGGGGTCTGATGTGGATAGAGGGGAATGAATGAAGGCGTCTCTGGAGCTGAGGGAGTGAAGGGATTAGCTCACATAAGGCTCACTGACGACCAGGAATTTTTTCCTAAGAGCCAGTGTGAAGCTGGTTCTGCGCCCAGGGATAAATGAGTCTCCTGGTGGTGTGTTGAAGGAGGAGGTGTGCGTAGAATCGGGAAGATCAATAGTCCAGGTAGGAGACGATAGTGACATCAGTAAAGAGGTCAAAATCTGTTTAATTTTGAACAAAGACTTAATGGCATTTCTTTTCAGACCACCTGTAGTGTGAGACAGAGCCCGGGATGACACTAAGATTTTTGCAAGGAACAAATGGAAAATGGTGATGCCATGAGAGGAGCAAGTGTGGAAAGTTATCAGAAACTCCATTTTGGAGATGTCCAATACTTCTTAGACATCTAGGCGCAGGTGGCAAGAAGGCAGTTGTTTAGTGATGACGTTTATTTCCTAGATTTTCAGTGATAATTTATTTATAACATTGGGTAGTTTCTGAAAACAGAAATTTAGTCCTGGAGGCTAAGAGTTGAAATCGGAGTGTTGACCATGTTGATTTCCTTCTGAGGGCTTTGGAAGACAGTCTGTCCTTGTCTCCTTCTTAGCTAGCAGTCTGTGACGTTCTTTGGCTTATAGATGCATTACTCCAATCTCTGCCTCTATCATCATATAGCCATCTTCCCTCTGAGTCTCTTCCTTTTTATTATAAAGGTATCATTCAGATTAGGACTCTTCCTACTCCCATATGACCTTGGTTAACGGATAACATTTTCAAAGGCCCTATTTCCAAACAAGGTCACACTCCCAGGCACCAGGCAATAGGGCTTCAACTTATCTCTTTGGCCAGACACAATTCAATCCATAGCAATGACTAAGGTAATTTTATGGCTTGTGTTATAGGAAATTTAATGGTAATAAATGGACTAATCTCTAGGTTGATAAGGAAACCAACACAGAAGATCTCTTCCCAGAAGAAGTTGCAAATCTTCCAAAGGAGAGGGCCAGTGGCAGGGCCCTCGCGTCTCCTTTTGTGCGGAGTGGCACAATTGTTCGTTCACAGACATTCTCGCCTGGAGCAAGAAGCCAGTATGTTTGCAGAGTAAGTTGGAGTTTCTTTGCCACCTATATAAAACGTTTTCTTGGTTTTTTTCCCCCTTTGTTTTTGTTGGGTTTTCTTTGCTAGCTATGCTGAAAGGTGTACGTATTATCACTAGTGATACCATTTAGTGACCAACAGACACGTGTGGGTTTGAAAAAGGCAGCGTGCTGTCTCCCCCTATCCCCACACTGACATGCACAGATAGCTCTGGTATCTGTAGGTTATAAAACCTCTCTTTCCTCCTCCCCTGTCCAGCTTTTATGTGTTATATATGCCCCGACTCATGGTCTGGAAGCAAGACAGATAACCTCTACATCTGACTAAAGTGTAGCAAATCAAAACAGGGTGCATTTTTAATTGGGTAGTAAATCAAAACAGGGTGCATTTTTAATTGGGTTGAGGTCAGGGAAGTCAGGTCACCGGGGAATGAATTAGAAGTTCTAGAGGAGAGCCATAGCAGTGGGTAGCCAGGAGAGAAGACAGCCATGAAGACTTAAAATACTAAATCACGGGAATGTAGACTCCCTCACATGTCAGTTTGTACCCGTCCAGTGATGAGAGGATATATTTACAGTGGTCCGCAACCCCGGCTGCACCTTGAAGTCTAATCATGCTGAGGGGATTAAAAAATAGCATTGTCTGGGTCCCACCCCTGGAGATTTATAGTTGGTCGTAACCAGGACGTAAGTATCACAGTGTTTGGGAACAAATAATTCTCGTGTGTTGGCAGGATTGAGATTCCTGAGATAGGTGGAAATAAAGACTAGACCTAATATAGTCATTAAAGACAAGTCAATATTTGGAAGTTGGCAAACAATAGTAGTGGGATGATGAGAGCATGCACTTGGAAAGAGAAGAAAGTGAAAAAGAACTTTGACCTTTCCTGTTCCACTTAATTCAGGCTGTTAAGGAAAGCATCTTTCCTTGAAAAGGTTTGCTAGTGGTCTGGTCTCATCAAGGCCATTCATACTCAAGAGCAAGACCCTCATATTTTTGAGGCAGATAGTGTCAGTTGTGGTTTAAAAATCCCCCAGCGCGAACAGGGGTTCAATAATGGGCTGTAATGATTCACAGAATTCAGAAAAGCCATTATACTTATGATTTTACTTGACTACAATAAAAGGATACAGATTAAAATCTGTTAACAAAAGAAGTGGATAGGGTAGAGTCCAGGGCACACCACGTCCTAGCTTCTAGATGCCCTCCCGCAGTGGAATCTGCAAACAGCTCCTATTTCTTTGAACTGTGATATGTAGCAACATGCAAAGTATTGCCAACCAGGAAAGCTCCCCTGAATTTTGTTGTCTAGGGTTTTTACTGAGGGTGAGTCATGCAGGGTATGGTTGACTGGATACAGAGATCAGCTTGATGCTTGACGGCCTGAGACTCCACATCATAAATCTCATTGTTGGTATAGACTATCTGATCTGGTGTGGTTCAAAACCTTCACTGTAAATTTGATGGCAAAGGCTCTTGGCATAGGCCCTCAGCCCCCATCATAAATCTCTTTGTTGGAATAAACTGTCTGGTGTGGCCCAAGGTCTTAGGGAAATGGAGACAACCTCATCAGGCAAGACATTCTCAGGACTTAGAGGTTACCTCCCAGAGCCACACCTCTTGTAGGGACCAGTTTGATCCTTTACTACTGCATAAGAGCAAACCTCAGAAGGTTTGGTTAGCTAAAATTGCCACTCAGCCATGTTTGAGAGACCATGTTTAAGAGGGCTAGTCTCCCTACAGAACTAAGCTCTTCCAGATTGTGGCTGTGTTGGGACACAGTTGATCCAGAAAACGGAGGGTCAGCTCTGTGTAATCAGTCGACCCAGGGCAGACTAAGGCATTGATAACCTGTGATGCCCGCTCCTCTCCTTACTCGTACACTGGAATGGGACATGTAAATTCTCAATATGCATATATGCGTGTGTGGACCTTAGCTATCCATGACTTAAACTCTACAGTGCAACTGTAGTGTTAGTAATTGAATGTAAAAATGCCATATTCCATTTTAATGGAATGAGCTGCATGGACTTAATAAAAGTTTTAGTGGAACCCTATGATTTGGCCCCTACCCATCCTTATCTCTTTACTCCCACCCCTTCCCCCCTTGGGTCCCCATACATGTTTTACTAGTTATCCTTCTACTTTTACCTCTGCAGTATTTGTCCTTATGAGACTAAGTTCCCTCAGCATAATGCTCTCCAGTCTCTCCCAAGTGATGTAGTATCGTTTGAAATCATTGCTCTGGGGTGCTGAGGATGATGGGTAGGGGGAGATGACAGGACTGCACACTTTGATGAGTGGAGGGAGAGGGTAGAAGAAATGGAAAGGATCTGGTGGGGACTTGAAAAGACCAGGTAATGGTGGGCATAGACCAAAGGTGATTAATTTTAGAAAACACAGTGTATGGGAATGATTATATGAAACGTAATGTCAATGAAGGAAAGTGTGGGGAAAATATTTTTTCATTAAAAAGGGGGAGGGAAGACAACAAAAACATTTTCATGGATATGCGGTAGGGTAGTAAGATCTTACGATACCCCACATTTTCTACCAAGGGAGTCATCCATATACTCTACAACAAAGAATGTGAGGCAGTGATTTTGGCCGTTTCAGCAATCAGTGCACACACATGTACAATTTAGTTCAGTTTCTTTTTCAAGAAATTATTCAAAAGCTGAAATAAGTTAGAGAAGCATTGCAATGAGCTTTCCTGATTCTTTAACACTGCCAAAATGTTCTTGTCCTGCTTCTCCTTTTTCTTGGAGTATAAAAAATTGGGCTATGACACAAACTTGCATAAAAAATGTTTTCAAAATTCAAAAAGCAGTGTACAATTGTGTTGGACTCTCAACAAAAAAAAACTCCTCTCTAGGTGTAAACCTTTCTTTAGCTTTTTATAATAGTGTCTTCATAGAATATTAGTCCTATAGGGAGTGGAAGGGAACTAGAAAATGAATCAGTAGATAATAAAACACCAAGATGGGTGAGAGGAAAAATAATATGGACTGAATGGATGATGAGACAATGTGGGGGGTCTGTAATTAATGTTATGGAATGAAATGTATATGAATGATTGATGTAAAAAACTATATACTTTGTAAACCAACACTTAAATTACAATTACAAAGAAATTAATGCATTTAACTTACCAAAACAAGAAAAACTGGCTTCTGTTAATTTACCTTTCAACTACTGAAACTTCAGTTCTATGCTTGGTTCATAATAAATTGTCTAAGTGAACATATAAAAAGATATCATAAAAGAAAGTACGATCAGAAGGCAAATCATCTACAACAAATTACTATTTTTCTTTTTAGATCTTTCATCTCTAACATGTTATAGTTAAAAACATTTTTCTATTCTTTGATCTTCAAGGTCTTCAGTAATTTTATCACAATTAAGTTGCAAAAGATGATCTACTTTGAAACATAATAAACCTAATTAAGTCTTTCTTGACCCATTGTATGCTCAGAGTTTTTTAGTGTTTTCAAGGATGAAAATTAGCATTTTGTTGTGCATCTTAAAGTTATGAATATGCATAAAGTAATTATAACATAGGGAAATATGCATTTGCATTTTATATTCTACTGTGGAATCCTACATGACTACATGAGCAAAATTTGTCTTTACTGAATCTATTAACTTAGTTCTCATTTAAGAATGAAATTGTACTTCCCTATGAATGCTTGTTTTAAAGTCATGTAGCTAAACCTACATTAATGTCTTCGATGCCTTCAAACATTCTTCATTAGATATATTCACATTGTTTAAGAACGAAAATGTATTTGAAGTAACTTCATACAGTTTTATCCTCCTTTTCATACAAGATTCAAGTGGGTCAGTGATGGCGGAGAATGTGGTGATATGAAATTGATCTCTTGTACTCAGTGGTGCTTCTGGAACTCTACCATGTACTTGTTTCTAATGCTTATGCTATTTTGAATTGCTTGATAATCCGTGTTTGGCGTTATTTATTTTGTTGTCTTTTAAAAACCTTTTAAACTATGTAAATACCTGTTAATGACTTGTAGTGATCTGTGCATGTCTTAAAATTTACTTAAGAATCTTGGGGAGCTTGACTTGTCCAATGAAAATAGCTCAGGATGAGTTCTTCAATCAGGACAGCCTTCACATAGCTGTGCCTGAAGGCAGAGGCTCTTTCTGGCCTTCAGCCTGGCCTCTGCCTTGTACAGTCGAGTGTTACAAAACTCTGGCGATGCCAGTAAATAGCTGCAGGTGCTCCACTCCTCCAGCACACCTCCAACCTGAAGTTACTCGGCTTGCTCGCTCCTTGGGTCTGGGAAGCCATTGCCTGCCAATCTCCTTGTTCCGCTTCCTCTCCTGCTACTGTTTTTTCTGCCTGTGCTTCTCATTGTCACTAGGGTTTTTGCTTTCTGTCATGCATGGGTCTAGAATTTCAGGGACCCTGGATCCAAAGGTTGTATTCCAGTTGCATCTCTTCTTGATGGTAGTCAGACCCACTCTGTACTCTGATATAGACTCTCTTTTAAGCCTAACAGGGTGGCAGAACTCTTAAGAGAGTTCCATATACCTTATTTGCATGGTTCCACTTGTCCCTTATTTACGTTTATTATCCAATCCCTGGGGTAGATCATAAGCACTTCATTTGCATAATCCCACCTAGTCATTTGACAAGACTCTGACAAAGACTACGGCTAGAAAGACCATATGAAGTCCTTCACTGCACTGCATATGGGATCTGCAGATGTGAAAATTTTAGATTCTAGAATAGTTTGTATTTCTACACCATCACTAACTCTCTTTTGTTGTGGGGTTTTTTTTACCATAGCAAGGAGTGAATGCTAAATTTGGAAGAAATTCAGTTACATTCATATTGCTATTAGTAATTTCATCACTAGTGGTACTAGTACAATGATTTGTACCCACTAAATGCAAGTGTTCCCTGGAAGAAGTCTCTTCTGATTGTGTTTTTAAAAGCAGGTTGATTTTGAAATTGTCTTTAAGGAGTCCCAAATCCTTTTATTTTTATTATCTGTGAGCTTTTGGTTTTGCACTCCAATTAGTTGTTACTGTTTCATTTATCCTGAATTTAAAATTACACCACTTCCTAAATTTAGTTTTCCCAGAGTAGATAAATTTGAATAATGGCAAGTAAATAAAATTTGTAAAGCAAGTAGAGTTTATAAAAAAATTTACTTTTGACATTAACAACAGTTTCTTTTTGAAAATTACTAAGCAAAGCACTGATTTTGAATGTGCAGTTTTGTTCTTCAGCTCTGAGACTGTCAAACGACGTAGTACTTATTAGGCACTTGGAAATCATGTGTTTAGTTTGTCACACTTTGTTGGTGGACCCTTTAGATCTCCATGAGTATTTGTTGTCTTGAAATGATACTTAAGAACTTGCACTGTCACTCTAAGTCCTTTGATACTGTCTTCACAGCTCATTGAGTGAGAGTGAGAGCAGTTACAAAGAGCATCCTCAATACAAGAATATACTCAAGCTAAAGAGGTGTTTTGGTTCTCTCTTCTCAGAACCAGATACGTCACAAGTCATATGATTACAGTGCTGCTGCCATGTTCTTATGTGGTTGACAAGCGAGCACAGAATGAGATTATATCCAGTAGATCCTAAAGGAAAAGGAAAACATAATTACTGTAAACAAAATTTACAAAACAACAAAATTAAACCTACCTTCAGTGCCCTGCCAGTTCCCCTTCATGGTGGACATGCTACTTTTCCTTGTGTTCTGTCCTTGGGTTTTTGCTTTGGACAGCTGATGTGCCCCTGTTTTGTTGACTCCCTAAGCACATGCTTCCCTTATGTACTGGGTGATTTGCCTATGACTCCACCCGATGAGATTGCGAAAGCCATCCTCTCAGGAAGGGAGAGCACACAGCCGCCAACCCAGCAATGAGTGGCCTCAAGTCTGCATTTGAGAAGCACAGGGAGAAAATCCCTTATTTATTTACTCCTCAGAAAGCCTTCCTCCTTCTGTGACATGGTCCAGGCTCTAAATAAAAGGGTGCGTTCACTGGCCGTGCTTTTAGAGAGCTCGTTTTTCTATAGGTCTGTAATGGCCACACAGTATTTAATCGGCTGTACCGCTGCATTTCCTGAGTATTTGGTGTTCATTGACACAGAAAGTAAGGAAATGAAGGCAAGGACTTTGCATTTAACACAAATGCACATTGATCCAGAAGTGAGAAACCACCACCAAGTGAAATACATAATGTCTCAGCTCCTATCAGGAAGGCATTATTTCTTTTCTTTGCTTCTTATGGGAATGAGTCTCTTCTTGGGAAGGCCATTTTTATGCTAACTTTTCCCAAAGCCAGAAACGCAGCAAAAGAAAGTGATGAATAAGAGGGGAAGATGGCTGAGGACAGAGCTGGCTTTCATGAACATCCTCCACAATGTCAAATCTCTGTCGGGTTTTCTAGGACTGAAGTGCCCTTGATGGTCTTAGTCTGATGAACAGAGAAGAGGGCCAGGGTGGAATGTTGCTTTATTTTCTTTCTTGTATAGGGTGTCTTTAGAATGCATCTCAAAGACTTGTTAAAAGTACCCAAATTCATCTAAGCATTTGATGACCTTTGAAACGGAATTATCCCTTTCAGAGGAAACAGAGTTCTGAACATCATTCTTTTTTGGCACAGCTTTTTCGTAGTGACAGTGACAGTTCAACGCTGCCTCGAAAATTACCCTTTGTCCGAAACACTCTGGAAAGACGAACCCTCCGCTATAAGCAGGTGTGTATCACATGAGCCGGTAAGGGATCTGCAGCTTGCCTGGAGTTACCTTCACAAACTAGAAAAAGCAGTACTTGAGATAGCATTTAAGGTAATAGGAATGAAGGTAATAATTTTATTTTCTTGTTTACTCAGGATACATAATTTTTGAAACCATATGTAATATAATGTTACCTAATATCTTTGTATTTATATTATATGTAATTTATATGTTTCTTAAGATAGAATTATGATCTAAGAGAATTAATTTTCCTTGCACTTTTAAATATAGGAAATGAATAGACAAGAAACCATTATTCAAAGTTCATGAAGCTTTGCCTCACTTATTTTGGACATGTTGTTAGGAGCATTTGTTCCTTGGAAAAAGACATCAGGCTTGGAAAGGTGGAGGGTCAGCAAAGGAGAGGAAGACCCTCAATGAGACGGATTAATACAATATCTATGGCAGTGGACTCAGATGTGTTGAGGAGAATGAGGATGGCACAGGATAGGACAGAGTTCGATCTATTGTTCATGGGTCACTGTAAGTCATACTCGACTCAGTGGCCCTTAACAGCAACTATAATAGAAAATATCTATTTTTGTGTTTTGGAAGAGAGAGTACACACAGAGGTAAACATACACACCCCACACACAATATTTTTATGCAGATAATGCCTGTGTGCTCCACTGTTTGCCCACTAAATCCTCCCTGAAAGGTATTTTTGTAAATGCGCTGTGCTATTTATATTTTTTACAGTGACAGGTAAAGAAATTGTCAGAGCATGTTTATGAAACTACCTCATCGTTTGTGTGGTTAGCAAAAGTAGAATGTGACTGTTATTTGCATAAAAACATGATGGATTTTTAAAATGTCGGTGTATAACAGGCCTATTGTATGGTTTTCACTTCCTTTAATCTTTCATTTCCCCATGATCACACCAGTTTACCAAGTTTTGTCCTTTTCCGTTTTCTTTCAGATTCTTTTGAATAGAAAACAAACAACAACTAAAAGCCACCCAAATTCCATATGGTAGTTAGACTTGAGAGTAACTGTTGACTGATCATTATAAGAAAATACTTAATTCAGCTATAAAAATATGCCTTAGTGGAAATACAGTTGACACTTTAGACCAAGTGTTTAGCTGTATTGGAAGCTGGAGGTATTTTGTGCCTTGAAGGACACTTAACACGTTGCCACACACTTTTAAATTGACTACTGTGCTTAGAAACACATTCCCCCCCGCCACCGCTGTAGACATCATTTGCAGCAACGTGTTAATAGCATCTTTGGCCCCCACCTACTAGATGCCACTAACACTCCTAAAACTCCACTCCTAAGTTTTGACAACCCCGAATATCTCCAGGTATTTTTTTAAAAACTGTTACTCTGAAATAATTATAGATTTATAGAAAGTTGTAAAAATCGTACAGAGAGGACCCAAGCACACTTTACCTAGTTCCCCCTATTGGTCCCATATGCCATAACTCGACTATAATAGCAACATTAGGAAAGTGCCACTAGTATAACTCACAGAGCTTAATCAGAGTTGACAAGTTTTCACCCACTCATTTGTGGTTATGTGTAGTTATATACAGTTTTTCAGATGTAAGTACAGAACTGTCTCAGTGCCATGACCCTCATACTGTTTCTTAGTATAGTCACACTCTGTGGAGTTTACTTTTTTGTGTGTGCCTTTCCTTTTTAATTGTGGTAAAGTTATACATACATACATACATACATACATACATACATACATACATATCTGTGGGTGTGGAAGGCCTCCACTTCTCCAGGGCATGGAAAATACTGCTGTCCTCTCTAGGGCAGTGTTTTCCTTTGGGTGGGAACTACTTCTCTAAACCCCACTTAGAAAAGTCTGTTCTCATTTTAGGACTCTTTTGAACACAGCATCTTTGCTTTCCTGAGGCTTCTGTCAGGAGCAGAGTTTTTGCAGCTTGCTTGTGTGTGTGTGTGTGT